CAAGATTCACAAGGGAATCAAATCCTGGAGAGTTGAAAGGTAGGGATAAAAATCAGTGTAAGAGCAGAAAGAATATAGATGCAGCGTGAGCAATTTGGAAGTATGAAAAGCAGACAGATGTCCTGAAATCATCTAGAAAGTTCAGAATTTGATGTCTTTAAAAAGACTGATGTGAGTACATCAGCTTGATTATAGGTTCAGGCTTGAGTGGGATAATAATTACAGTAAAACAAAAACTTCTTTTAGATGCTTCTCTATGTTATGCCCAGATTTCAAGATCCCCAATAGACCAACAGGGAGCCAGCCATGTCCGATGCAAAAGCAGAGAGTCTTTATTATCAAACCCGGGTTTGGCTCCCAGCCTCCACCGATGCAGAGGCGAGACTAGAGAGACAGCACCTGGGAAAAAAGGGGTTTTTAATAGGGGGGTGGAGTGAGGGGAGGAGAGATGACTGTGGGCCCTGCCAATTGGCCAGGTGCAAGTCGGGTCTTGTTACACAGGATGTGGTCATATTTATGGCGCGCACGTCCCTTGATTGTCATTGGTTAGTTTAAAGAAATCCTGGGCGTGGCTAGCAGAGGCTTGGGCTTCCGGGAAGAAGGTGCTTTCCTGAGCACATGGCTGCTGCCCCAACATGAAGGATACGGGGCAAGATGGAGGGCATAGCCCTCGCCCTTTCACTCTAAGTGTTGAGCACCAGGAAGAAAAGGTGGCATTTATATCTGCATTTCCACCAAAATGCTTCTCTCTTTCTTAGTTATGTTATGACTATGATTTCTGATTTACTTAAAAGTGAAATTGCCAGTTTGGCTCAGTGATCAGAGCATGGGCCCCACAGACTGAAGGGTCCCAGGTTTGATTCCTGTCAAGGACGCTTCTTGGATTCCAGGCTTGATCCTTGACCCTGGTTAGGGATCCTGCCAGGAGGCAACCAATCGATGTGTCTCTCACATTGATGTTTTTTCTCTCTCTGAAGCATGGTAAATGGGATAGAGTTTGTTATGCAGATTTAAGTCACTTTCTCTGTTGATAAGATTCTCTTATGATTTAGTCATCTTTTTCCTTCTGGCAGAGAGAGAGAGAGAGAGAAAGAGAGAGAGAGAGAGAGAGAGAGAGAGAGAGAGAGACCCTTACATGCAGGAATTTTCTTTATGAATGTATGGCTCCTTGCAAAGGGTGCCCTCTATTGTTTTTAGAGCTTTTATATCTGCAATTTGTCAAAATAATCCTTATCCAGAAAAGCACATTCTGGGGCTGCATATTCTGCTACTCTTCACTTTCTTCCCATTTCTCAAAAACATTGAAGGCCATATCTAAACCAGATTCTAAAAAATCTTCCTGCCTAACATTTTAAACTCTCAGTTTTTCTCCAGAATTAATTTTTATATGTTGTCTTTAAATCAACTGTCTAACTGTCACTTACCATTCAGCTTCTCAACTCAGAAAGTTGAAAGAGGCCTCAGGCTCATCCTATTAGAGTTAAGCTACAGTGCTCTCCTAAGTAATTTTTGAAAATATATCTTATTTAGTTTCACATGTTTTCCTGCTAAAGGTGCCTCAATTTACAGAGCTAAGGTTTCTAGCAGATCTCATTTTCAAGCTGAACTATCCTGTGTGTTCTGGTTGTCTCTGGTCTTTTAGCAACTGGTCATTATTCTCAGTTTTGATAAAGAAAAACTAGTCTTTGAATATGACTCTTAAACATGTTTTAAACTTGGCAGTATCTAAGTTACAATGTCTTATGCTATGTCATCTATGTTTGAATGTTTAAGTGTTTCTTTGTAGTGCTAATATCAATTTAAATTTAACTTGCTTTAAATAATGCTCAAAAATTGGAGTTGTACTTTTGCATAACATGATTTTTTTTTCATTTTGAAATTAAATTTTAAAATTATTATTGATTGCATATTGTGCAGAAGACACAGCATAAAATCCTATTGAAATCCTGTATGACTCTTCTAATCTCTTTGAACACACTGGTTTTTATCTTTTCTCAATTCCCACAGACTGCTTTTCACATAAAATCCTATTTTCTATGTTTTATGGTTCAAAATTATAGCTATAACTATGCTAAGAAAATCTGGCATTGTTAACATAAACATATGCTTTTATTAGAAACAGAAAATGTATGTTTTGGTTCCTTAGTAACATAAATGGTTGTCAAATGTGAAAAAAAAAGTGCACATTTCCAAAATGCATATGATTTCTGATTTACTTAAAAGTGAAATTGCCAGTTTGGCTCAGTGATCAGAGCATGGGCCCCACAGACTGAAGGGTCCCAGGTTTGATTCCTGTCAAGGACGCTTCCTGGATTCCAGGCTTGATCCTTGACCCTGGTTAGGGCTCCTGGCAGGAGGCAACCAATGGATGTGTCTCTCACATTGATGTTTTTTCTCTCTCTGACTCTCCCCTCCCTTCCACTCTCTCTAACAATCAATGGGAGAAAATATATCCTTGGGTGAGGATTAACAAAACAAAACAAAACAAAAAATTGCAAAAAACAAAAAGCTAAGTCATAATGTATTTAGTACTTAAAATAAGAAAACTGTTCCCCAGTAGCTTCTTTTAGAACTCCTAAACACATTTGTCTAAATTTTCACACCCTGCCTCTTCAGTACACAGCACAAGTGGACTAATAGCGAGCTATTCAAAATAATCCTTATCCAGAAAAGCACATTCTGGGGCTGCATATTCTGCTACTCTTCACTTTCTTCCCATTTCTCAAAAACATTGAAGGCCATATCTAAACCAGATTCTAAAAAATCTTCCTGCCTAACATTTTAAAGTCTCAGTTTTTCTCCAGCATTAATTTTTATATGTTGTCTTTAAATCAACTTTCTAACTGTCACTTACCATTCAGCTTCTCAACTCAGAAAGTTGAAAGAGGCCTCAGGCTCATCCTATTAGAGTTAAGCTACAGTGCTCTCCTAAGTAATTTTTGAAAATATATCTTATTTAGTTTCACATGTTTTCCTGCTAAAGGTGCCTCAATTTACAGAGCTAAGGTTACTATCACCTTACCTCATCCCAAAGATTTGGCTCTCATCTTAAAAGCTGCAATAAATTCTCACATTTCCACACATAGCTTATCATCAGTTTGCTGAATCAGCATTCTGGGCTATGCCAACTATATTTCCAGAAATATGCATTTCAAAAGCAGTATTTCCAGATATGCTGAATCAGCATGCTGAAGGACAGGCAATACAGAGATGCTCTAACTGTTGTGTCTGAGCCCGAGTCTATCAGCAGAGATGAGTATTCAACCTGTAAACAAAACTTGCAGGTAGCAAGAATCTTTTAACCTAATACTGGTTGCATGTACGTAAGTATTGCATTTGTAGTTTTTTTGTTTGTTTGTTTGTTCTTTTTATTAGAGAAATTCTTATTACCTGTCTATAAAAGACAGGCAAAGACAGGCTATAAAACCACGAAATGGTTTTCATAATTCTCCAAATTTGATGCATTAATGTGATTGTAAGACTTCACAAAGTGATCTATGCTATTTTGTCCTATTTAACTCAACTTATATCTGTTATACTACCATATCATTAAAATATATTTGTTTGATTTGTCATGTCAACTTCAGAAATACAAGGCTATTGATTGGTAAGGCAACCACTTATAGGAACTCAAAGAGCTGATGATCATTCATGCTTATCTAGACTTATGGTTATAAAGAAATTAATATTTAGATGGTGATAGCTAACAGTTTTGGAGTTGTTTGTGAGCTGTATCGATTCCTGGCTGCTGTCACTATAAAATAGCAAGTTGAAAGGCTTGATCATCAGATGTCCATCTTATCCTGGTTCAATCCCCATCACCAAAATATAAACACAAAAACACATTTACTAATTCATAATGGCTCAAAGAGTTTGCATTAGTATGTTGTTTCCATTACAGGATCGCTTCAAAATGTCCAATTAATTATGTTTGAAGATCTTCAAGAATCTTCAAAACAAGCATATGGTATACAATTTTTAAATTTTCTGGGCCAATAAAAGAATCTTATATTGATTTAAATAAGATCATACATTAAATGAGAAATGGAAATCTTACTTTGAATTGGTGCTGGTTAGAAGATAGGTTGATTTATTAAAGACCTAAATAATTTGTACTTATATATTAATTTTCCATAATTAATTCTATACCTCAACAAAATAATTTATTCATCTAATGGAATTTTATAATCATTCACAAAGATATGGAGACGTAAGTCCCATAAATGCAAAGGGTCTATTAAAGTCACACCAATCCATTGTTTTTTTTGCTAAATGTTCAAGCTCTATTTGTTAGATATTAATATTTATATCAAGTCTATTTGACTCTGCTGTTCACTCTAGTTCCATTCCTCAGATGAATAGAAAACGATTTCTCAGAGATAATTTTGGCAATTATCCTCCTTCTACATGTATTTATAATTTATTAAAGCACCCCCATTCCATTCCAACCTCACCTTATTTGATGGTGTTGGGTCCTTCCATATAGATTTCTTGCTAAAAAAGGCAGTGGGCTAAACGGCAGTTACAGAAACACTGCCATGTTGAAGGTCAGTATATTTAAGCATATCTAAATCTGTATCCAAAGAATTTCACGGTATTTAAATAAATCTGTGATTTTCAGTCTTCTTTTAACAGTTTGTCAAATCAAATCTTATGAATGCCAACATATTAAGTAGATAAAACTGTAATAATGGAAGACTGAAGGGGAGAAAGAGGCCTGAATGCTTGATGTTCCCGGCCACTAATCACCTGGGTCTTGAGGCACTTATACCAAGTCCTGGGCTAACTCAGCACAGTAATTGTGAGACACTAAAATAGAGAATCCCTGAAGTCTCTTTTAGTTCCAGCACTTCAATTGCAATTATTAGACTTTTTTTTGTAATTTCTTATTTAATCTAAATTGTATATTAAATTTTTATTGTTTAAAATGTGGCTAAAATACATTTAGCATAAAACATCATGACATTTTTGCTTCCTCTTTAGACTTGAAGATACTTTTCTGTTTTCTTCTTTTTATGTTATTTTTTCCATCACCATTTATTCCCTCTATACCCTCTTCCACCTCCACCTACCCCTCCCCACCACAGTCACCACTGTTGTTCATGTCCATGAGTTCTTTTTTTTACTTCTTTGCTCAATCCCTATACGACCCCAACAAACCCATCCCACCCCCACTCCCCCTCCACACACACCAGAGCTGTCTGCCTGCTCTCTATGAGTCTGTCTCTATTTTGCTTGGTAGTTTAGTTTGTTCATTAAATTCCACATATGAACGAAATCATATGGTACTTGTTTTTCTCTAACTGGTTTATTCCACTTAGCATAATGTTCTCCAAGTCCATCCATGCAGTTGCAAAGGGTTACATTTTCTTCCTTTTTATGGCCAAGGAGTATTCCATTATAAAAAAATACCATAGCTATTTTATCCACTCATGGGCACTTGGGCAGCTTCCAAATCTTGGCTATTTTAAACAATGCTGCAATGAACATAGGGGTACATATAGTCTTTTAAATTAGTGTTTTGGATTCCTTAAGATACATTCCCAGAAGTGGAATTGCTAGATCATGAGGCAGTTCCATTTTAAATTATTTGAGGAAACTCCAGACTGTTTTCCACAGTGGCTGCACTAATCTACGTCCCAACCAACAGTGCACGAGGGTTCCCTTTCTTCACATCTTCACTAGCACTTGTTGGTGTGAGGTTTTCTTTTATAAGGTAGTTTTTTTAAAAAAACTTTTTAGATTTAGGCCTATGCTTCATCCCAATTAACAGTTCTAGATCTTTATCTTTATTGAACAAAATAAAAGTGAAGAAATGGTTTCCTAAGCATCAGTACAATAAGTGAAGGGAACACAGTAATATTATTAGAATCTGCTTCTTTTTTTAAAAAAAATATTACCTGTGTTTTCTTAACATGAAAGAGAAAAAAAAAGAAGCTCTAAAACAAAAACACTTTTATTGTGTACGTTTAACTGATACAAATTTGACTTGGTCTACTACTTCGTAATTAATGAAAAAATGAGAAACCCTACATAATGCACTAAGGCAAGAATTACAGTCTTTTTCTGTAAAGGGTCAGATAGATGCCTTTCAGGTCATAAGGTCTCTATCACAACTACCCAGCCCTGCCATTGTAGCACAAAAGCAGCCATAGACAACACATAAATGATAGGCAATATTCTGCTGCAATACAATTAAAAAATAAAGTGATCATTGAGTTTGGAAAGTGGGCTGTAGCTACATTTGGCAATTTTTGCTCTAAGCGAAAAGAAAAGCAGCTACCATTTTTTGTGCATCTACTATACAACAGGTGCTGCATTCCAGAATATAAAATTAATGTGAATATTTAAACATTAAAAAAAACTTTTTTTCATTTCTGACAGTCAATCCTTTGGCTAGCTTATCATATCGATTAGACTGGTAGCTGATGTGTGATTTGAAATGTTACAAGTTTGAAGGGGGCAATTCTGAAGGAGGCCCTGAGCATCACAACACAGCACCCACAACAGGGAAAGTACAGAACAAATCTGTCCTTAGTGGAGTCAACAAAGAAGAACTTCAAGAAATGGAATACAGGATAAATGCAATCTGGAAAATGAAACATTCTGAATTGCCAAAATTTTATTTAAAAGTTGTAATATGACTTCAACCACTTTTTCTACTTATAGTAATTGAATTTCAGCTTACTACCAGCCCTGCCTTATTTACCCATAGGTACACTTATTGGTAGTTTTTAAAAGCCTTAACAGCAAATGCTCTAACTTTTATGTTTATGGAAGGAATACTTGTAGTTGAATCCAGAAACTTTGCTTTATAAATTCAGTTTTTGCAAAGCTTCCTGTTCAAGTCTTATCCTTTCTGTTTTTGCATTCTTGCCCTGTATAATGAAACGCCATGCACCTTGCAGTGTCATCAAATGACATGTAAAATATTTTCAATCCTTCAGAGAAAAAGTTAAATGATTTCACATTTCTGAAATAACAGCACTTTGTATCATAAATTGTCCAAAGCAATGACATTTTTTGGTAATAGTCTAGTTTATGTCCAACCCCATTTAAAGAAAAGTGGATATTTATAACATAGTGTGAAAAATACAGCCTAAACATTAGTTTAGCATCATAGATCTGTGTAATCTCTAGAAATTTAATCTGAAGAATGTCAAAAGCCATGGGGATATAATTTTAAAGATTCTAAAGTTTAAAACCAGAAAAAAGTGAAAACGAACAATATCCTATAAAATCTAAAAGTGAGACAAACAAACCCGTGAATGGATGATCAGCGAAAGGGCACCAAATGCTTGAGAATTCTGAAGTACGCGGGGCCCGAAGCATTGCTCCTCCTTTGCATGTGTTTATGGCATCTTTCTTTTTTCAGTAGAGGAGCGGAACGCACTGGAATATGGGATTTCTAACTTGAAAACAATCACGAGTCAAAATAGAAAAATAACACCTCACCACACTGCCTAAAACATTAAACCTCCATTTCTCTCTGTCATTCTCTCACCTGCACACTCTATACTTTCCTTATTCCTTTTTTTTTTTGTCCATAGCACTTTGTAATTTTATCATATACTTATGGATTTATGTTTGGTTTTCTAGCTGCTTTTACTAAAATGTATGTTCCATGGGCATTGCTTTTTCTAGTTTTGGATTTTACTGATTTCCCTCTTTATGTTTCCAGCACAAATGTGTGAGATACTGAGCTCTGACGACGTAATTTATAAAAACTCTTCCTTCTTACATTCTAGGCGCAGTGATGGCGAACCTATGACACGTGTGTCAGAGGTGACACGTGAACTCATTTTTTTTGGTTGATTTTTCTTTGTTAAATGGCATTTAAATATATAAAATAAATATCAAAAATATAAATCTTTGTTTTACTATGGTTGCAAATATCAAAAAATTTCTATATGTGACACGGCACCAGAGTTAAGTTAGGGATTTTCAAAATGCTGACAAGCCGAGCTCAAAAGGTTCACCATCACTGCAGGGGAAGGCTTCCCAACTTCAGCACGGTCCACATCCGGGGCTGCTGGTCTGTACTTGCAGGATGTGTAGCAGCACCGCTGGCCTCTACCCACCAGATGCCAGCCCGCCCACTCTCAGTGGTGACCACCAAAAATGTCTCCAGAGGTTGCCAAATGTGCCCTGGGGAGCAAACAGGGCTATAGAGGATTTAGTCAAAACAATTTAGTTGACAATGATTAAGAACTTCTCTATACCTGAATTCTGAAGCAGTTAAGAGCAAAAAAAGGATCAGAGGAAAGATCACACAGAGACAAATACACTCACATCCACAGGTAAGTGGGCTTGCTACTCCTTGATCCAAGATTAAGCAGGTTTAACCGCTCTGACACAAGTAGTCCTGGAAGCACAGACCTCCATCCCAGGGGCCAACCCGCGCTGCCCTGAGTTCCACATGGGAGATTGCGTGGCCACTGGAGTAGATGAGAACACACCTTCTCCGCAGGTTGGCAGATACAAAAAAAAGATAAAGGCAGGTTCTCACAGGCTCGGTCTCTCCAGCCTCAGGAAGGAATAGAGTGCAAGATGCAAGGGTTTACTCCATGTGCTGCACAGTCTTTCTGTTCCCTTCAGTTCCACTCTCTACCCCCTTCCAACCCATTCTGTGTCCCATATGACTGATGTCTATGGGATGTGTCAACTGAGCTTTTCTGTTCTCCAGATTTTGGTTGAGTTCACCCAGAGAGAGGCCCCAGCAAGACAGTGGAGGACAGGGAAACACCATGGCATTTGTTCCTCCAGCTACGTCTCAGCTGGCTCGTATTCCTCCACACACAGCCGTTGGGCAGCCTTCCTCTGTGCCAGAGAGACAGTTCTCTGGGTTCTCCTGGTAAAGTTCCCTCCAATTGGACCTTCAGACCATGACTTAGTGTAGTTTCCTTGTTGTTGTTAGTGCTGGGGTGTTTTGATAACTTTTTTTTTTTGAGAGAGAGAGAGAGGAACATTGATGTGAGGAGCAGAAACACCAATCGGTTGCCTTCATTACATGCCCTGACTGGGGATTGAACTCCCAACTTGTATATATGCCCTGACCAGGAATCAAACCCGCAACCTTTTGGTGCACTGGATAATGCCCCCACCAACGGAGCCACTGAGCAGCTAGGGCATGTTTTAATATTTTTGTTGGTTTTGCTTTACCACACCAACCCCTTCTTTAAGCTCCATTTACTTGCACCCACCTTTTGTTAAATCTTTAATTTTAAAAGGATTTCAAAAGTACAGGTAATTTTAAAGCTTGATATGAGAAATCTTATGATCTTTCATCTAAGTTCACCAATTTGTCATCTTACTATATTTGTTTTATCATATTCATACTACATATAAATATATATTTATAAAATTAATTTTTATAAACCATTTACCATAATACTTTAATGTGTCTTCTTTCTAACAAACATAGTCTCTTACCTAACTATATGAAATTTAGGAAATTTAGCATTGAAACAGTGGTCTATAGTTCATATTAATTTTATTTTTCAATTATTCTAATAATGTCTTTTTTATGTTTGAACATCTATATATATAAAGAGGTAATATGCAAATTGTCCAGGATGCTGTAATGTCACAACTGCTCAGGAGGAGGCTGCATGTGCAGGTGGGAGGAAGGGGAATGCCTGCATGGTGAGGCAAGCCACGGATGGCACAGGCCCGGAGAGAAGAGGGCCTGCCAGGTGCCGCTCACCGGCAGTCCCGCCTCTATGCCTGAGCTGCAGAGGAAACACCTTTTCTGACCACTCATTGGCTAAGCTCTCGGTATGCCACTCACAGTGTTCTTGGTAATGTGGGTAATAAGAATCCAAGAAGGTGATCTAAGGTTTTTCCACCTCACTCCTGGAGGAAAAAACAAAGGTCCGCTGTTGGAGGGGCAAGGAAATGTCATATCCTGCTCTAGCCAGTTTTGTTCAGTGGATAGAGCCTTGGCCTGTGGACCACAGGGTCCAAGTTTGATTCTGACCAAGGACATGTACCTAGGTTGCAGGCTCCTCCCCGGCCAGGGCCAAGGTCAGGGCTCATGCAAGAGGCAACCAATCAAAGTGTCCCTCTCACATTGATGTTTCTCTCTGTCTTTCCCTATCTCCTCTACACTCTCTAAAAATCAATGGAAAAATATCCTCAGATGAGGATAAAAAAAAAGAAAGAAAGAAAGAAATGTCATATCCTATGAAAGAGACATCTTGAAAATGCCTAAAGAAAGTTGTCATTTTTTCGTGGTGAAGGGACTGGAGTTCGTGTTGATGAAAACACCTTGGCAGCTGCGGCGGCCGGCAGTGACAGCAGCAGCGGGGTGATGGGGGCGGTGCTTTCCCCTGATCAGCCTGCTCCCAACAAGGACAGTAGGACATCCCCTGTGGGCTCCAGGAACTGTGAGAGGGGGCAGGCTTCACTGAGGGGACCCACCCACCCCTGCCTAGTGCATAAATTTTTATGCACCAGGCCTCTAGTTTTTATAATAAGACTGTGGGGAAAATAGCACAGGTTTGAAAGTGGAGGCTAAAAGACTGGAACATATTTTATTTTGGTTTGTAATGGTAGAAAGTTCATTTATATCATTGTAGTTGAGTAACTCACCTCTATTGTGAAAGGTTAGCAAAAAGGACTTAGCTAAAAGGTCTCTAGGCCAGATTCCCAGCTGCCCAAAAGTGTTTTTCAGAGTGAGCTGCTTCTGCTCAGACCCCTCTGAGGCACACATCCCTGACTGGGGCAGGGGTGTTCTTGGCAGCAGTTGTTTTACTCTAGGACCGGCTCTATTGCAGAATAACGTATTGGATTTATTGTTATGTCTCAAACCCACTTGTGAATGTGCTGTTTGCTCATGGGACCATGAATAATATATTCATATAAAAGTGAGGAATAAATGTCCCCAGTAGTCCTTATATTATTCATATTTTCTTTTTGAGCTGCACACTTAGTGTCTCACAAAAGAGTGTCCTCATTCATTCAGTTTTCATTAAGTTTCTGCTCCATGCAGAACCATGTGTGTCTTAAATGTGATTAGAATGGGCAAGAGGAAGAATGAAAGAAATAGAAAAATAACCCTAAGAGTTCTAAACTTAAAAAGTATAAGGGTTTTCATTTTTCCTCTGAAAAGTTAAGAATGAATATAACTTGAATTTAAAAATTCAAAATGTTTTATTGGACAAATACCTGCGCAGACTTCTGCTATTTCAAAAGCCTTGCTTGATGGCAGACATCAAAAACTAATCATGGAACATTTCTCCTGATTCCAATCGTGATCTCAGAAGCTTTCACAATACAATAAACTAAGAAATTATTATCAACTGATCAAAGCAGACATCCAGAATAAAACAATTCTGCCATCTCTGATGTAGATTCGAATAAGCAGTGCATTGTGAAAATCATTTCAAGGCTCCAGGTATGAATGAGATACAAAACACCAGCCAGATCAGCCTGTACACTGTTCAGAAAGAATCACCCAAAGCAGGATTAGACCAGCAACTTCAGAAAGTAAGAACAAAAGCCTTTTTTACTCATGTACCAGACAGCTTTCATCTCTCATGTTTAGGGACAATCTGTTACCAGATTGCTTTTACACTTGGGCACTGAAGCAGGATCTGGAAAGGTACATTCATTAGCCTTTAAAGAACATGATAATACTGTTACCAGATTGCTTTTACACTTGGGCACTGAGAAAGGTACATTCATTAGCCTTTAAAGAACATGATAATGACCCAGCCTTACTCACCAGACTTACTACACAGTGGGTAGAAGAGAGTCCCCAAGTAATATGCAAAATGACCCAGTCAAAACAGAGATGTAAATAAAATCAGAACTTTAAGCCATTCAGCTGAAACCAGCAAAAGTCACTAAGAGGAAGCAGAGTCCCTAACAGTAATATCTGAGTCATGGTGAAGAATTTTAACTACCAATAAGTTTAATGTGAAAGCAAATAAAGTTTGTTTGTTTGTTTTTCCCCATTTTCCTATGTAGGCAGATGTCACCAGATCAGAGGCTGATTAACATTCCAGCACTGACTAATCAACAGAGACAAACTCAAGGGATCGCGGATTTCCCCACGGCGTAGCATGATTCCATAAGGCTTATGTGGGTGAACAGAAGGAGAACGTTTTTATAGGCTTTGCCTCAGGACACTCAAACGAAAATCACATTTCACTGTAGTAATTGCATTTGCAACACAGAAAACAAAAGAAAAGTATGTGACAGGTTGCACATGAAGCAATCTTGCTACCTATAATGTTCTTGTCCTCAAGGTAAATCTAACTAGTCATGCAAATTTCTCACTTCTCACTTGGAAACACACACACACACACACACACACACACACACAACCTACTAATATATATATTTAAAGGCCCTGAATTAAAAATAAAAATGACAGAAATAAGAAGGAAAAATTTTTGAAGCAACAGCATTAGTCACATTCCCAGTGAAAAATGCTATAACTCTGATAATAGAATAGTATGTAGGCTATTGAATCAGGGCCTTTCCTCCTCAGTAAAAGAAAGTTTACAGTTGTGAGTATATGAAACAGAGTTTATTCTTGTATTATTATTTATTGTTGTATTATTTTCTATACAAACAACTGTAAACCCACTTTTTCCCCACCCTGCATAGCAAGATACAAGGCTTATACAAGACTGCCCATGAGTACTAGCAATGTGGGGGAGGGAGGACATCTATATAATTTTAATTTACGATTTAAGTTTCTTAACTCCTACTCCTCTTCCTCCTTCTTGTTCAATTGCTCATTTGGTATATAAATTTCAAAAGTATAATTTGTGTTAGGACTTAGTGGGTCAGTTTGGAATAATGGGTTTAGTCGATTGGCTCTAGGGTCAGACTGCCGAGAGCACAGGTTGGCACACTTTTTCTGTAAAGGACCAAACTGTAAACATTTCAGACTTTTCAGGCCTTAAGGACTCTATTGTAACTACTCAACTCTGTCGGGTCATTTATTTTTGTAAATAAAAAGGTGTGGCTGTGTTCCAACAAATCTTTACTTATAGACACTAAAAATTACATTTCACGTAATTTTCTCATATCACAAAGTATTATTCTTCTTTTGATTTTTCTCACTCATTTAAAAATGTAAAAACAATTCTTAGCTCATAGCTCATACAAAAACCAGTGGCAGGCCAGCTTTGGCTGACAGCTGTAGTGATCATCCTCCATCCTAGAGATAAACACTATACCATCACCTGCCACTTGTGTGACCTTAGCCAAGCTACCTAACCTTTCGGTTTCCACAACCTATAAAGAGGGTCAATAAAACAATTCATGTTAGCTTGCTCTTGGGTTGTCTTAAAGATTCAAGATGTTAATACACACAAAGTACTAAATATTGCCTTCCATATAGAGAGCAGTTAATAAATGCTGCTACTTTTACTGCTAAAGTTACATGGTAACTTATGTTTATGTACTTTATTCTACTTGCCCCTATTAGTAATTTATGAGAAAAATCTCATTATAACTTACTTCAAATTGAATTACATGAGCTTGTCTGGAAATTTAAAAAGAATTGATGAATGATATTTTAATTATTTTGATTAATTTAGGACAGCTTTCATGGAAAAGAGAAGAAAATATGTAAAAGGGCTAGATAGACAAAAGAAAAAAGAGTTAACATAGATATCTAATGTGTCATGATTGGTATTAAGTAACTTTTTGTGTACACACACACATTTATATAATTTATTATCTTTGTCATATACTCTCTCTCTTTTGAAATAAAGATTCAGATAGTAAATAGCTTGACAAATATCACACTGTTAAGATAGTGATTGGCAAATTAACACAAAAAGGTGTTTAACTTCAGAGACGTAATTCTTTTAGATACTATTATGTGTTTGCTTATAGAAGTTAAAACTTGTCATCAAATTTTATTTATTTACATATTTCTTAAGAAAAACATTATACATAACATTATACATGACCAATCTTGTTATATCTCTACTTTCTGCATCCCACCCTAGATTGGTTTATTAACTTTTAAAATAAACAATTCTTATTCATTTAATAATGCATTAGAACTAGAAGTACAAGAAAAAATAAAAATGTTAAAAATAACAAAGCATCACAAAAATCCCAACAAAATTATTTTTGCTATTCCTTTATCAAGCTTTATGTATGTGAATTCAAGTTTGTTGACATTTTTTCATATAAATTTCTTACTTATATAGACATAATAATCTTTGTATTTTATGAATACAATACGTATATTCTGATTAACTAGTCCTCAATATTAAACATTGCATTTTATATTTGTTAAGTTTATATTTGTTAAAGTATTTTTAGTTCCATTTTATGCAAAATGTGCATCGCATGCATATACAGAGATGCTTTTGATGCACAAAAGTTTTATTTGTGTGTTTAATACCCAAACAATTAATCATTATTCTTTAACTCTCCCCTCATCATTTCTATGCTTTGAGATAATCCCATTTCCAGTTATGCAACTCATTGAATTTACTTGTGGAAGAGATCCAGAAATTGAGTTCTGATATTAAAATAATCAAATGCAATATAGAAATGTGAGGAATAAGGTAAGAAAATCTCCAATACAGGTATATTAATATCCTGCTAACTTCAAGGCATTTTGTTAGATCATTGGAAACATAAAAAAGAAACATCCTCATTACTCGTGACATTTATAAAATCATTTAGGACCATATTCTATTTCTCTTTTAATGTGGTCACTGCCAAGCTTTATTTAGTGACAGAATAAAAATTCAGATGCATTTTAGTAAATGGAACGTTCCATCTAATCAAATCAATTCTTTAAGAGTCTCAGTGGCTCTCCTGGAGTTTTATTGACTAAAGTTTGTCACTTCTTTCCATGCACTACATCAGCAACGCCATTCATTAGATGTCACCAAATATGTCATGTCCTTGAATGTCCATCTGTGCTTTCTTAATTAGGAAATTGAGGGAACAAGATATAAAACTATTTACTTAACAATAAAAGATTTTTTCTAGCCGAAACCGGTTTGGCTCAGTGGATAGAGCGTCGGCCTGTGGACTGAAAGGTCCCGGGTTCGATTCCGGTCAAGGGCATGTACGTTGGTTGCGGGCACACCCCCAGTAGGAGATGTGCAGGAGGCAGCTGGTCGATGTTTCTCTCTCATCGATGTTTCTAACTCTCTATCCCTCTCCCTTCCTCTCTGTAAAAAATCAATAAAATATATTTAAAAAAAAAAGATTTTTTCTATTAAATATAAGTTTTGACTCAAATAGCAAGTATAATTGCCAAATTATTAATATTTAGTATTCCCCTAAAACTGGCAATTAATGTTCAATTTTAATAACTTGCCAATTTCTCTATAAAACTATTTTCTGAAATTTTTATTTCATCTTCTAAAAAACAAAACAAAATATGAAGATAATATAAGGCTCTGTTTTCTACAGTTCTCTTTTACTACACCTCATGCTACTTTCGTATACTATACTTATTCAACAAGTTACTTTTAATCTTATATATGGATAAAAAAGAGTCTGCATCAGTTACTTAAATATATCTATTAATTATTTTAGAAAGCTACCAGGAGGTTTTAAGTTTTAAAGAGTAAACTTCTTCTCTGAACATTTTAATCTGCATAAGAAATAGAATCAAACTTAAACAGTGATAATCAAACAAGTTTATCACAGATTTTAAAGATAATTTTATCACAGGATGGACTAAGGGAACAACACAGAAGACTCAAGCAGTTTGCCTCTTATAATCTTAACTAGAGGCCCAGTGTATGAAAATTCGTGCACTGGAGGTGGTCCCTCAGCCCGGCCTGCACCCTCTTGCAGTTCGTCCAGGAGCCCTTGGGGGATGTCTGTCAGTTGGACATCCTTAGTGCTGCCATGGAGGTGGGAGAGGCTCACGCCACTGCTGCTGCATTTGCCAGCCGTGAGCCTGGCTGTGGGAGCACACTGACCACCAGGGGGCAGCTCCTGCATTGAACGTCTGTCCCCTTGGTGGTCATTGCGAGTCATAGCGACCAGTCGTTCTGCCATTCTGTCGCTTTGCATATTAGCCTTTTATTATATAGGATGGAGAAGAATTAACTTTTTTTGCATTACCAACATATCTCAAAATATACAAAAATACCTTTTAACTCTCAAATGTGCCTTTTAAGTCAGAATTAATTTTCAGAATTTCCTTCCTGATGCAGAAATATCACAAGGGAGGTGGGAAGGTTTGTCTCATGGCTAGAAAATTGTAACTAATGACCCAAATCAAGATACATCCTAATAGACTGCAGCAAAGACACCAAAACTCAGTCTCTTCACACACATTTGGTGAAGCACAGTGCACGTTCAGTCAGTGTGTGAATTTATACAGGTTATGTCATTAATGTTATGAGTTGCAGCTTTCTCATACATAAAATGGGAATGATGATACCCAGCCCTTATTTGCATTTAGGATTGAATGGAAGAACACATGTAAAGTGACCCCTCTTCTAGTTGATACAGAGAAGAGGCTAACATTGGTAGCTAATATTTTTATCATTAAACTAGAGGCCCGATGCATGAAATTTGTGCAAGAGTAGGCCTTCCTTCCCCCGGCTGCCGGCACCGGCTTCCCTCTGGCACCCGGGACCTGGGCTTCCCTCGCAGCCCCGGCTTCGCCCAGAAGGTCATCTGGTCTAACTAGCATATTATGCTTTTAATATTATAGATTATAATTATTACCACCTCTGGTAGAAATATACCAAATTTTACTTTTATGGTAATTCTCAAGATGCCATAAATATTTTGATTCTTTTTAGAAAGTTTTGTAGGAAGTTTAATTTTTACCTGGTTTAATATTAAAAATTGATGGATTCTAGGCAATGGTCAGCTGATAAACTGGTTCTCCAAAAAAAAAAAAAAGCCCTTATTTGTAGTTTTTTCAGATTACTGTGATCTAAACACTCCCTTCATGGCCAATTTTATACCACTACATCAGAAATTTGCAAGACATGCACAGTCAGGTAGCCAATTATTGGAATGGCCAATTCACTAACTAAAAATCTCAGCAAATGACTAACTCATCAATTAGTAAATATGTTAAATAACCAATTCACAAGATGGCAAATTTGTTAAAAGCCAATTTTCCAGAAGGTAAGTTGAAAAAAAAAATAAGAGTGCCATATGATCAATTCCCAAGTGACATTGCTTATAAAACATATCAAATATCTTAAAGAGGAACTAGGACAATTTCTGTGGCCATTGTGTTTTTAGTGGCAAGCAGATGCAGGGGCAAAACAAGAAAAGCTTAAAATATAAAAAAAAAACAGGCACTTGCAAATATGGGAAAACCCAATGGAATATAAAATA